TCAGTGTGAAAGAGAACGCCATCTGAGCCTGGAGAATGCTCACTGCCGAGACCAGGTTCTGGAAGGCAGCCTCAGACAGTGCGGACCTCCACAGGGCCTTGGGGAGACGGCTGGGGCATTTGGCTGGGGCCTTGACCAACACTGCAGTGAGTCCTCCAGGAAAAACATAACTGGTCATACACTGTCAGGCAGGGTTGCCTTCTCCCTCTGCCGGCTGTCTGCAGATCTGCGGAACATCTAGTCCCCTCCACCGGTCCCGAAAGAAGCCTCTGCATGCACCTCACACTCAAGCCTAAGAGCACTGCAGGTTCTGCACGGAGGCTGCTGCCTCCACCTGGAATTCCAGCCCCATCTCCTGGAGAGTTCCTGGGGCTCATGCCTGCCCTTCTCCCAGGCTCGGCTTCTTCTTTTATCAAACAAGGAGGAAAAGACCTCCCTCTGCTAGGGGTGCGTGACAGGATGCGGGAAATTGCTCGCCCTGAGGTTGCGGTCGCTGTGGTTCCTGTCCCATCCCGCGGACTGTGATGCCCGTCCTGACCCTGACATCAAATGCAGTTCCGCTCTCCATAAAGCTGCCAGGGCATCCAGGGCCTCTTCCAGAGTCCATCTTCCCACCTTCTGCACGAGATCCTTTGTGCAGCCTCCTGGACTGCCTGAAGTTCTCTGAGGCCAGTGGGCGGGTGCACCCTTATTCCCTCCATTTGCCCCAGCACCCAGCGTAGGCAGTGGTGCATCCCAGTAGGGACGTGAGAGCAAAGAACAAGGTGGCAGCCTACCCTCCACTCAGCAAGGCCATCATTCTCAGATGTGGGCCTGTAATTTGTTCATGAATGAGATGGAAGTCTCAGAACTGTGACAAAGAATATGGGTGGTGGGGGGAAGGACCCACAATACAGGCCTGCCCACATCTGCTCAGAGAAGCAGCGACCATCGGGGCTGTTCAGCAGAAGAGGCAGGTGTGGTTCTGACTGCAGGCCTGAGGCCGGAAGCTGGACCTGTGATGAAATCTCCAAAAGGAGGTTTGCTGTCTCCCCATGGCCATGCTTACGCTTGGAAACGCAGTGTCCTCGACGCCAGGTTCCAGCAACCTGGCCCACTGTGGTGAAGAAAAGCACCTAAAACAGAGGTTTCCCAGGCCTGTTGCTGGTTTAAGCTCTAAATCCACAGAAATGGGCCTTCATAGATAGGCCCAAAGTGGGACTTCAGGCCCGTACTGAATCTGGCTAACACTCGGATGCAGGCGTCATCACTTGTGTGGAGAGGCCTAGCTTAAGTACGCATTCTGGTGCTGGGAATGGGCTTGGCACCCCAAGAAATGTCCCCTTGTCTCCCAACACCTCTCTCCTTTATTTACATATTGGAAGAACTAATCTTCTGCAAAAACAGAGCGCTTAAACGCTCTTGAAGAGCCCATGTGTCCACCCAGCGCATGGCGGGTGACACCGTGATGTGTGTTCAGCTGTACGGGGCCGGCGAGGGCTGAGGCGGAGTCCAGGTTTGTGCGGTTCTGCCCTGCGGTGCAGCTAACAGGGCCTCCCTCTCGACTTTCCTCCTGCACAACGTCCACTCTTCTGCTGCCTGGCTCTCTTTGTTCTTGCTCCAATACATTTGAAGTTGAACATTCACGAGTCTAGCCTCAGTCGCCTGATATTTAGATCTTTTTCTCCCTTGGGCCGGGAGGAAGCTGCTAATCAGAGGACTGTATCAAGACGCCTTCCCTCCCACTCCACAGGCTTCCGGGATGGAATGAAGAAATTTATATTCATCGATCTTGAGAAAGTTGATTGTTAAAAAGCAACAAAAGTTTGTACATTGGGGCAACAGTATAGCTCCCAAGTTTCTGTCTCTGCTTCAGTGATAGCCATAATGGACAGACAAAAGATAAAATATTTTTGTTTTTTAATCTTGTCTGTGTGTTTCCCCTGTAAGTTTTGTTGGTATCTACTCCTGACATCCATCCACAAACTCCTTCCACGTGGATCTATGAGCAGGTCCAGAGTCAAGGGCTCTCAGCACATGTTCTGGCTTGGGTACATGCTAGCCTGTTCTGCAGAAAATCACTGGAGTCATCAAGATCCCAATTTTCTATCTGTAGCACAATACCTTCCTGGCAGGGGAGTGTGAAGATTCAATGAGTTCACATAGTCCAGGGGCCGGAAGAGAGAGGGGAGATACAAGAACAAGGGGTCCCGAGAGAGCCGTAGGCTCAAATCTTGGCTCTGCCTGTCTCTCCAAAACCTCGGTCCTCCGGAGAGTCCCAAAACAGCTGAGTCCACTCCTGGCTCCTATCCAGTACTTTCCTCTTATTCTTGCTCTAGACCCAGGGAGGGAACGCTGGTGTCCAACTTACTTGGGTGGTGTTTTCTGGGTGCCTTTGAGTAAATCACTCAAGTGGACCACGTTAAAAGATACTCCATTTGGGATGGGTATAGTTGTGTGACAGTCAAGACATCAGGTTGAAACAAAAGTTAAAATGTTCAGGATGCAAATTTTCAAAAGGTCATTTTATAGACAATGAACATATGATAACATCATACGTCCAAAGGCTGCCAATCAGAAAGGTATTTGGGAATTATTTGATATAATTTTATGAATTCGGTAATCTACTATTTTATTTCAGACGGAGTCGCGCTCTGTCATTCAGGTTGGAGTCCAGTGGTGAGCGAGATCTTGGCTCACTGCAACCTTGACCTCCGGGGTTCAAATGATTCTCCTGCCTCAGCCTCCTGACTAGCTGGGATTACAGCTGCCTGACACTATGCCCGGCTAATTTTTAAAATTTTGAATATAGTCAGGGTTTCACCACATTGGCCAGGCTGGTCTCAAACTCCTGACCTCAGGTGATCTGCCTGCCTCAGCCTCCCAAAGTGCTGGGATTGTAAGTGTAAGCCACCATGTCTGGCCTGAATTCTGTCATATATTATTAAAAACTGTATGAAAATGAGATTGTATATGCACAGATATTAATCGTAAAAGAAACCCAAACTAAATAAAGAATGCTGTCTTTTAATTGAAAATTCACAAATGACCTTGAACACCAAACAGAAACTTACTATATCTGAGAAAAACGAGAGAAAAATGTGCTGGACAACTGGATATATACAATCACTATTTCATAACCCCAGGAATGCCTGTTGTAGCTACTAACAGAGGGATCCCAACTTCACAACACTATCCAGTACCGGCAGATTTCAGGGAGGAACCCACACTCTCCGCCCCTCCGCGGTGCTGGGCAGAGCAGATGCTGTGTATTACCTGAGTAGCTAAGGCAGAGAAGTTCACACTTCTGCAAATCCTCACTCCTGGTTCTACTGGGTCCCACGTCACCCACCAGTGTCTCCAGGAAGGCCCATCAGCAAGTCTCGGGGAACCGTCTGCCCTCAAGGCTAAGCAGGTGTGCCCCCTTGCCATCCCCCTAATTTTGTGTACAACTGCATTTGAAATCAGACCTTGCAATTTTTTTTTAAGATTGGAAGTCAATAAACAAATTTGTTGCGACAAACCCACATGCATACAAAAATAAATAAAAATCCCAATTTGATAAGGACACGGGGGAAGAGAAATGATATGCAACCTAAGTTGAAAAACATTTAAAAACCAGTGAAACGAGTACACTAAAACCCTGTAAGGTACAACAAAATGATACTGACTATGACTGTTTCTTAGATTCTATTCTTTTCTTTCATCTGCTATTTCTCGAGCGCTTTGAAAGAAGATACCAATGAGGCCAGGCTCCAGTGGTATCTTAACAAACAATTTCCCCTTGGGAAATGAAAAAAAGAATTATGATTAAAAAATGGCTCTTTAACAAGCCACAGTGAAACTGTAGATTTGTTTTCCCGACTTTTTTCTTCTTCTTTTTTTTTCTTTCCTGGCTGAGGGCAGGGCTTTCAGCAGCAAGACAGGAGTAATTGTGAAAGAAAGAAAAAGACGATGGTGATATAAATCAGCAAAGGTTAATGACCAGGATGTGAAAAGAGGGACTTGTTTACAGAAATAACGTGCAATTTAAAATTTACAAGAGATTTAATGCCACTGCTTGGCAATCGCTAAAATCAACAGCCCAGAAAACAGTGACATTAAGAAAAATATTACAGTTATAATAATCCCCAAATAAGTCAATTAGTGTTAGGGCACGAGCTCGCGATTACTTGACCCATTTGGCTTGCACTTAAGTGAAAAAAAATTTCCCCCTATTATACCAAGATCGCTGGATTGTGACCTGCTTTGCATCACACGTACCATACCCCCGCCTCTCTCATGTGTGCTCGGGCTGATGGTGGTGGTTTTCCTTTGCCTGGCATCAAAATAATTCTGACCCTTGACATTTGTAATCATAAAAAAAAGGCAATTTATAATTGTGTTGTTCAAATGAAGGTGGGGGAAAAATTCAATCTGCTATTATACAAAAGCAATGACGGCTGTCTCGGTGAAAACAGCAACGCAAGTCAATTTGTGAACTTTGGCACCAGACGACCTTTAGAAACACAACAAAATACTGAATTTACAAGCAATAGCAGCCCATGCAAATGGCCCGGGCCTGCTTGCCTGTGGATTAGAGCTGCAGAGAGCATTATGGAGAATGCTTCCACAAAACAAATTAAGACTGTTACTTAAATGTCACGGCACACTATTGTATTTGGCTACAGATCATTACACCTGATACTAACACTTTTGAAAACTGTAATAACTTGGGAAATATTACACTGAGTGCCCACATGTATAAAGGAAAAGAAAAAAGAGGAGAAAATAGGTTTCTGAAATAATTTAAACATCACTACGACTGAAGGGAAAGGTCAAAATTTAAGTAAGCTGAAAGGAACATGAATGGTAAAATAAAACACACAAACAAAAAGATGGGAGGACCACAGGAATGACTCTGCAAACACAATAAGGGAGCATGCGGCACGGGGCAAACTGCATTTCCATGCCTGTGTTGGAAAGGAAGGGGCGGGCAGGGGTGAGGCGGGAAGAGGCGGGTGGAGACGTGGAGGCATTACCTTCGGTGTTGGTGCTGCTGCTGTATATATTTCGCAGGCTACCAACACGGTTTAGTTTCCATGCTTTGCGTTTGGCTGCATCCCGAGAGCAGAAAGGGGAGAGCGGAAAAAGAGAAAACAAAAATGAAAAGAAAACAAATGAAAAGGGGAGAGAAAAAAGGTCAAAGTAGCACGTGATGTCGCCAACGAGCTGTCTGCGCGAAGCGGGTGGGGGCCATGGGGCTCCCTGGCCCGAGCCCTCCAAATCCCACGAGGAAGGGCAGAGGTGTACCAGGGTCATCAGGTCTGCATCTAACTGTCAAAGAAGCTCCCATGCACAGAAGTCCATGTCGCCCTTGTTGGATACCATGAGTTCGAAGTTTCTCTTCAAAGAATCAGTATGTTAGTATGTTCAGTTCTTTGTCCTCCACTTTAAAGTTTAACTTCCTTGTGGTTTTAGTAAACAACCTTTCCTGCCAGTTCTAATCAGTAGTTCACATCTGTTCCCCTGGTCATCTGCTCTTCCTGATTCACCCTGATCACCTGCTTCGACCTGAGACACCCCCAGTCACCTGCTTTGACCTGAGTCATTGTTAGTTACCCGTTCCATAGCTGTTTTTCCCGCCAAACCGCTCACCCTGCCACTCTGGCTCATACCCCTGCTCTTTAAAATAGCCAATCAGAATTAGCTTAGACTGTGTGGTCCAACCCTAGTCAATAGGGCCCAACACAGCAAGAGGGACTATCTGCATCAGCGATAAGAACCCCCTTCCCTTCCTGGGTTCAGGTGTGCGCTCGCCATTGCTCCATCTGTGAGATGCACCCTTCTATAGAAGTAAACTGCCTTGCTGAGAAAATGTATATTCAAGTGCTACTTCTTTTGCGGCACCAAAAATTTTACATATAACACCCTGCTTGGTTTCACACGTGGCTATTCAAAACAGCACAAAAATTGGCCTTTGTCTTGCGAAATGATGACACCCTCTGAAAGAGCTATGATGCCAGTCACCATAAGCCCTTTGATTTGGCTAAATATTAGGACCATGTCAAATCAAGAGACCCTGATTATTTATGCCTATGTGTTGCAAAACGTAGGTTTTTAAAACCAAGAGCTGTTAAAAGTGGAAGCTGTTTTCACCAGACAGATTTTGATCCAGGCAATGCCTATAGCAGCAAAACCCTAGTGCCATTTTGCTGTCTTGAAAGTCAGAGTCCATTCTCTTTGACACTTAGGTGAGTTGCCAGCTCTCAATGGAGCTCCTAGGAACCAGGAGAGCAAATACCTCCTCAAGTTCTCAGGAAAAAGGACAAAACACCAAGTCACCAACAGTGGGATGCTGGGTTCAAAAGAGAACCAAGAGGGTGCAGCTGGCCCAGCATTCAGGCTGTGTGCAGTGTCTGGCTGGGTCACTGAGATGGGACCCCAACCCTCCAGGGACACGTTCTCCACCCCACCAGGCCCCCACCGTCCCAAACATCAACTCAGAAATGCTGACATCTGTGGTAGGGAAGACACCGACTTCAGACGTTCTCTCTGCCCTTCGGGAGATATTTTATAAAAACCCAAGAGTTAAATAGGGTGGCTCAGGTCTTCAGGCAAACCCAGGGAAAGGCATAGCCCCAGATCACAGGGCTGGAGGGCTTGGCCAGCTGTGCAGGCAGGCACGCCGGAATGTTTAGTGGTGGTCACAGTCATTCACCTTCTGAAGAAGGGGTCTCACAGGACCATCTGTCTCTCTCAACTTCTACAGGCAGGAAGAGAAACCAGTCCAAGCTGTTTGTTTAATGCAGGTGAGCAGCGCTTATCCAGGACAGATGGGCCTTTCCATTTCCACAGGCAGGTCTTAAGCCTGCAAGGCAGGCAGCCAGGCTGGCCCTCTGGTTCCCAAGGTATGGTGTGGACAATGGCCAGCTCCCTAATCTACCCCAGCGCACTCCTGACTGATGATGGGTTAACTCTTCTTGCCTGCTGTAGTGTTTGCGCCCAAATCCTCCATTTCAAACAGCACAGATTAGGCCATGGGTGTAGGTTGTGTGTGTGCATGAAGTTCTGGTGGCCAGAAAATGACCCAGGGTGATGACTAGGTCCCTGCGATGAGTTTGTTGTGGAAATGCATCTCAAGTGCTTCTAAGCACACTGGATTTTGTTTTAGGACAGCACAAAACATATGCGAGAAACCTGAACCTTTAAGGAAGCAACCAAAACTCTGTAATAAAGCACTGTATACTCAAGATGCAAATTTTGTATTAGTCATGAGAAAAAACTTGCTGTGATTTAGCCGTCTCTTGATTTAAGGTGATATTAAGTTGTTATAACTAAACACATCTAACAATTCCTTTGCAGAAATCAACAAACAGGCCAGGTGCTCACTCCTGTAATCCAGGACTTTGGGAGGCTGAGGTGGGCAGATCACTTGAGGCCAGGAGTTTGAGACCAGCCTGGCCAACATGGCAAAACCCCATGTCTACTAAAAATACAAATAGTAGCTGGAAATGGTGGTGTACGCCTATAATCCCAGCTACTCGGGAGGCGGAGGTTGCAGTGAAATGAGATTGCACCACTAGGCGACAGTGATCACACACTAGGGTCTGTTGGGGGGCAGACAAGGGAGGGATAGCAGGGGAATGGGGAGGTTAGGGAGGGATAACATGGGGAGAAATGCCAGATGTAGGTGACGGGGGAATGGAGGCAGCAAACCACATTGCCATGTGTGTACCTATTCAACAATCCTGCATGATCTGCACATGTACCCCAGAACTTAAAGTACAACAACAACAAAAAAAAAAGAAAAAAAAGCAACAAATAATTTAGTAAGAAACTACCCCTAAAGTAGCAGGCATCTGCAGTTTTGCAAGATATGAGTCTACACTGAATTTTTCTCAGGTGAAGTCTTCCTCATGTCTATATCTTCAGGTTTCCTCACTATCTACAAGGTCCTACTTAAGTATCTGTCTGAGGTAACCTCAAACCTGGGAAAAGGATCTTCAGGTACCTATTCTTACAAATATCATGCATGAGGAACAAAGGAAACCAAACCCATCACAGTTCTCAAATGTGAAATTTAGAAATGCTTGATGGATATGTACCAGGGGCCCCAGGCATAATGATGCAGAATTAAGCACGGCCTTCATCTTTTTTTTTTGGCAGAGTTTTGCTCTTGTTGCCCAGACTGGAGTGCAATGGCATGATTTTGGCTCGGTGTAATCTCCGCCTCCCGGGTTCAAGCAATTCTCCCACCTCAGCCTCCCGAGTATCTGGGATCACAGGCGTGCACCACCACACCCGGCTAATTTTGTATTTTTAGTAGAGATGGGGTTTCTCTCCATGTTGGTCAGGCCGGTCTCAAACTCCCGACCTCCTGTGATCTGCCCACCTCGGCCTCCCAAAGTGCTGGGATTACAGGCGTGAGCCACTGCACTCGGCTGGGCATGGGCTTAATTTTTAACTGCTGCAGCTCTGGTGTCTGGGACCGTATTTCACAAGTTCCAGAAAGAAGTTGGCATGAGGAGGCTGCACTCCTCAGAGTACAGCTTACCCCTTTCTGCAACATTTACATATAAATAGGCAGAACGGAGGCTGGGCACCCCTCGGAAGGGAGGGATGGCTGGCGGAGTGCAGGAAGCCTCTTTTCTCGCCCGCTTTATGCCTTGCATTTTTCACACTCTGCTCTCCCATTACCATAGGATATATAAGCAGGAAGTGAACTCGCAGCCTGGCTTTCTATTAACCTATTGATGAAATAATCCATTTTAATGTGTAAAATGTCATGCCTTTTTCTTTCTCTTAAACAAATGGATGTTTTCTGGCTGATACCAAGGTCCTGATATGTGCATCGGTCTCCCGGGGCATTGATTGCTCTAAGTTCCCTTGTTTAGAAGCTTCTCAGCGAGAAAATACAATCCTATTATCATCAATAACACTTCGGGTTATGTCGGATGCTGCTGCCTGATTTGCTTCCAGGGGATATGGAGACACTGTGCCACATGGAACCCCAAAGCTCCGACCTGATGCTGGGTGCCACGTGGCCACTGACCAGTACTGCTCACCACTGGCAGCCTCCCTCTGGTCTCAGACCTTTGGAATAAAAGGTGGTTCTCAGGGACCTCAGGGGCACTGGCTCAAAAGACTAAACTTTGTGAGTCATCTTTATTTTAATTAAAACTTTTAGCAAAATTCCTGTTTTACTTTCAGGAATATAGTTTCTTCCTCTTAAACACAGGCTAACTTATTTCCTGTCACTAATGTTATTTCTCACAAAAACTATTATTCAGCTATCAAAATTTCACCTGTTATTGAATAAAATGGCAGCAGGGTGTGAGCACTCCGTTAGTGTTTTCCATTCTGCTCTTGCCTCTGCATAAGCAAAACTCTCTTTCACAAACAGTTTCACAATGCCTCCCATAGCTATTTAAACGACAGGATGTCTCAGCACTGTCTTAAATGTTTAAAAACACACATGCAAATCTCAATGGACATGAAATTCCACAAGCGTAATTTCAGATGTGGTACAACCTAATTGTCAGCTCCGGTGCAGACAGTGAGATTGATCTCTTCTCACTTGACCCTGCAAATGAAATGGAACTTTCTGAGCTCTAATCTGGGCAGGCAGAATAGTCAGTGGGCCTGGGGAGAGGAAGCCACTCGGGGGAGGACAGCACTGTCCCCGCAATGGTGCCAAAGCATGAACCGTGAACTCAGGTTAAACACAAGAGTGCTACATGTGGGTTTCACAGCAAGAGGTAATACAAGGGAATCACCACCGACCGCTGGGAATTTAAAACGCATGGAAAATTCATCCTCCTCCTGGCTGGAATGTATTTTCTAAGGATTAAAAGGATCAAAACTTTGAGAAACTCAGGATAAGGCAATGCAGAGAGACTCACTCTCAAACTCTAAGACAAAATGCTTACCCTTATGTAACACAACAATGGTATTAATTTCCTTAAAAAACACACAGCGCCCCTCGTTGAGGAAACTGAATTTATAAGGCAGTCTTTGAATTACAAAGAGAGATCATTGTGGCACCTTCTGGTACCACAATGGTAATGTGGACAAAGTGTGCTAAAGTCTACACTGGCTATTGATGCATTTTTTG